CCGTAGTTGCCCGGCTCACCGGTCCTTTTGTGTTTCTGCGACCAACAGGATGCCTTCGAACGAAGTCCTGCCAGCCGCCTGAGCAACAGAGTTACCCAGCGTCCCAGCGAGAAGCTACCAGCGAGGCGGCTTGCAAGGCAGCAACCTCCCAGCAGAGAGCAGTCTCGCGCGCCGCAAGACACCTCAGGCGCGCTGAATGCTGGCAGCGGCGGCCATTATGTTGCCGAGCAACGCGGTCAGCTCGCTCGTTGAGAGCCCGCAGGAAACTCTCTGCCGCACCGGACGAGGCAGCCCAGCCAACAGGCACGGGCTTGCCATGGCTCGGAACCCACTCAAGCTTAAGAAGCAAACCCCTGGCATTCAGCACGGCAATGCCAGCAGTGATCTGGGACACCAGAGCTCCGAGAGATCCGCGCCCCGCCACGGCATCCAACAAAGACTTGCAATCGACGACAACCCACAGTGTGCCGACGACGTCGAGGAAGAGGGCCGCTCTAACGAGCAGCGCAAGGGCACTCAGCTCGGCCTTGTACGCAGACTGGTCTTCACCCTCCACGCCTGCAGCGACCTCTGTCCCCTGGTCAAGGACGACCGAGAAGGAAGCAACTTCAGCATGACAGGAGCCATCGGTGGCGACATGCAGCCAGGGCCTCTCAGGGACCCATGCAGTGCGCAGTGCCTCGGCAAGGTCTTCGACGATGTCGGAAGTGTCAATCACCGGCGGCGGGGCAGGCCACTCAGGGACAGCACAGCCAAGCAACCGCTCCTGGATGCGATCGCGAGGCGCCCCCACAGCAGCAGAGCACTGAGGAAAGTGGGCGCACCCCCACAGCAAGTGAGGCCTGCTGGGTGCCTCCAGACCACACACGCATGACGGCAGCACCTCCAGGTGGTGGGCCTTCTGCTTATCCCAGGCCGAGCAACCATGGCCAAGGCACAGCTTGTCCAATGCACGAGAGCCCGTACCGTAGAGTTTGTGGTGGCCCGCGAAGAGGCACAACGGCTCAGCAGGGACAGGCAACGACGGACCAGTCGCAAGGCCCTGAACGGACCGGTGGTAGTCCAGCCGGAGCCTACCACAGCTCTTAACGTCAGCCCGGCGGTGGAAGTCAGCGAGCCAAGAGTGAAGGACCTGGGGCCCATCGAAGCCAAAGCGAAAGCTGCGCCACACACCCAAGGAATCGAGTCTTTGCAAGCTCCTTTCATCAGCCGAAAGCTGCCAACCAAGCTCCCGCAGGATCGAAGAGATGATCGGCAGGGTCTGCCCCAGCGGCCTCAGCGCAACGGAAAGCGGCGCAGTGTCCTGCCAAGCACGAGTGCCAGAGCGGAGCCGAATGAGCTCATGCAGCACCGCCCAGTGGCGCATGAAGCACGGGTCGCACTCGTAGCCCACGACAGCCAAGCAGAGCGGAACTGCCTTGTCCCGCGCGGTAGCAGAACCAACCCTGAACAGAAAGTCCCGTCGAAGAGCCCGGGCATCATCGGCAGAGACGACTCCAAAGGCACCGGCCCAAGTGATCATCGGCATGACCAAGCGGCGCATCAACGCGCGGCGCGCGATGAAGCTGCGGGTAAGCACAGCAACCAACCTCAGCCTGCGACGCACGTGGCCAAGAGCGAAAGCAGCAGGCACAGCAGCACCCTCCTGCCCAAAGTCAAGGGTGAGGCCCAGGATCGTGAGCTGCTCAACGCGAGAGTAGCCGCAGACAGCCGCTACTTCACCAGCAATGCCAGAGGCTGAAGACGCCGCGATGGCACATTTCCTGCTGTCACAGTGGAAACCAAAGGCAGTGTCGTACTCGTCGCTCAGAGCTTTAGCAGAGCAGAGAGTGTCAGAGCTGCTGGCCCAAAAGTACCTGTCGTCGACAAAGGAGGCAGCCCTAGCACCAGCTGTGCCAAGAAGTGCAGACCACCCACGAAGCACTGCGGCTGCCAGCAACGGGCTGAGCGGGCAACCTTGACACAACCCCCTAGAAGCCTGAACCCAGCTCCCTGAAAGGAAGCCCGAACGGCTGAACAAGCGCTCCTGACCGTCGTACAGCGCCTGGACCACAGCAACCAGTTGGGGAGGCGCAGCAAGCCGCCTGAGCACAACCATCAAGTCTCTGACGTCAATGGCATCAAAGTACTTGGCCAAGTCCTGAGCAACCACGGCAGATTGCGTATGCTCCCTCATGCCGGCCAAAAGCTGGTGTACAAGATCCTTGCCGGACCGAGCGGGCACACCGCCGCACGAAGTGTGGTCAAGCCAAAGGCCCACCCAAGCATCGAGCTGGTGCAACATGTGCTTAGCACCCAGCCTCCAAACAACAGAAAGGAGCGAGAGAGGCCGAGTGCCTCCCTGCCGCTTGGGCAACAAAGCAATGCGCACTCTCTGCCAAGGGCGCGGCACGTCGCCTCTGTCAGCGATGCTTTGCCAAAGCTCAGCCAAGGACTGCCAGAAGGAAGGCGGCAAAAGCAACAGCTCCTCGGCCCTCCACTGGTCCACCCCCGGGGCCTTGCCCTTCATGGACCGAGCCATGCCACACAGACTCGGGCCATCAAAAGTGACCTGCCACGCACACTGAGGAACTTCAGGGAGGGCACGAAGCGCGTGCAGCACTGCATCATCGGAACGATCGCGACGGGCCGTCCAGCGAGGAGCCCACTCGGATTCGGCCTGCTTGAGCACCTCAGTAGGAGCAGTGACGACCCGAGGATCCAGGTCCCCCAAAGGCACAGAGGGCCGATCAGCGGCCTCCTCCAAAGCACAGCGGCGACGAACCCAGGAGCATTGAGCACCAAAGTCGTCCGAAGTAGTGGCGAGCCAGCGCCGCAAGGCCGCCCGCCTCTCGTCATCAGCCACAAGCTTAACAATCCCGGCAACGGACTCCAACGCATCAAGCGGATTGGCATCAGCGAAAGCGCGAAGCTCCGGAAAGGTCTCAGCAGCGCAATGCAGATCACCCCGCACTTTACGAAGCAAGGGAGCATCAGCGGGCACCCGAGCAAGATGCGCGAGCCGCCGATGCAGGCGCCGAAGGCGAACCAGTAAGAGGGAATCAACGCCAGCCGCGGCCCGATGCTTATCCCGGGGACGTTTAGGAGTCCAGAGCGCGTGGCGAGCAACCACCCCAGGCACAGCCTCAACACCCTCACCAGCGAGCGCTTCCTCAGCAGCAGCAGACAGGAGCTCCCAGGCCCCAGTGCAGTCGACCTTCAAAGCTTCACGAAAGCTGCGAGCACGAGCACGCCAGAAGCGAGCCCACCTCGCTTCGTCAACTTCGACCTCGGCTAAAGGCAAGCGAGCAGGCGGAACAAAGCCGGCAGGAGACTCAAGGTCAAGGGTGTAAGCCGTCCCCAGGTGATCAGCACAACCACAAAAACCACAAACCTCCGTGGCAACGACCAATCTGGAAGACACAGCGTAGTCGATCCTCCGAATGCGGCTTGGGGAGGTGGCCGGCAAGGGCCCGCACTCGAGGAAGTCGTTGTCAAGGACTCTGGCGAAAGGAAGGCCAGCAAGAGTGCCTGCCCAAGGTGCCTCCTCGACCGTCACATTGAAATCGCCCAGCGCAATCCAGGAAAAGCCCGAAGCATTCAGCTGCACCAGCACGTCACGAGCAAGGGCCGAAGCCGCCTCAACATCCTCGGCATGGCCGTAAAGAGAGCACAAGACAACCTTGCGGATCGAGTGACCACACCGCAGCTCAGTGGTGACTGCAGCAACACGCGATGGATCGGCGATGCCTTCAAGGAGCACGGGAGCACACTCCAGCCTGGAGAGGAGGCCAACACGATGCCCTCTAGACCCGCACGGCCCGGCAAAGAACTGCAGCCCATGACGACGGAAGGCAGCGGTGACATTGCCAAGCGAGTGAGCATTGAGATCAATCTCCTGCAAAGCAAGCACCGCCAAGCGCTCATCAGCAAAGAGCGAAGCCACGGCCTGGACCTTGGTCGCCAAGCACTTACCAACGTTCAAGGTCCCCACGCGAGTCAACTGGCCAACCCAAGGAGAGTGCCCCGTCATGACAGCTGTCGTTGATCAGCGGCCCGCGGCGCAGCCTTGGCCAAAGCGGCGCGCGCCTCCTGGAAGAGGCTCTCAAGTTGATCGGCGGGGAAGCCATGCTTGGTGCCCCTGATTTTGCGAATGCGGCACTCAAGGGCGCGCGTCCGCTTGACATGGGCAGCTTTGCGCGAAGCAAACGAGAGCGCAAAAGCACGCTGACAGCAAGCCGAAGTCCAAGGCTGGGATTTCGAAGGAGGGCTAGCATACACATGATGACATCGAAGGCACTGCGGAACAAGTCGCACGCCCAGCCTTCCACGTGCCCGGCCCCGCGGGAAATCGACGTTAGGCCAACGCACCAAAGTAAAACCCTTAGGGGCCGCAGTCGTCGGCACGTCCCTTACAGCAGACTTCTTGTTAGCAGCAGCAGCACGTCGCCTGGCCAAAGCACGCTGGCGAGCCTGGGCCTGCTGACACGCGGCTTGCTGGAACGCGGCATTGGTGATGCCAGGATGCCGCTGCTGCCTGTGCCGCGCGGTCGCGATCTCCTTGGCATGCTTGCTCACCTCAACACCTTCAGGCAGCCCAAACCGACACAGCGGGCACTTCCACTTGTAGCGCTCAGCAGTGCACTCATCTTTGCGAAGTTGCCTAAACACACCATAGTCGACCCTGATGGCCCCAGGCAACCCAACGCCATCATGAAACCGGACAAGGTGGTGGTGCCTGGCACTGGTAACAGCAGCCCTGGAGCCTTCAAAGGCAAAGTCACAGAGATCACACTCAAAGCGAGGCCTGCCTCCGCGGACCAAAGGATTCTCACGAAACCTACGCTGGCAGATGGCATGCTTACTCGGAGCCGGCTCACACACCTCAGCCTCGGCAGCACCTGCAGGCACAACGTCCCGGCCTCGCTTGCGTGAAGAAGTAGAGGCAGACTGCGACTTGCCACCAAGCAAAGAGGGGGCAGCCGGAGGGGAGCACCGCGTCTGGCCACCAACGGAAGAAGGGGCAGCAGGCCCAGCAGTGCAACCACCAAGCGTCGAGGCAGGGGTCCGGCCACCCAAGGAAGAGGCAGCCCGCCCGGCAGAAGGAGCGCCACCACGTTCAGCAGGGTCACCAATCTCAGCTTTGACGGCCCCCGCAGAGGCATTCTCAAGGTCAGCGCTTTCGCCCACAAGCGCCTGATAGTGGCGATCGCGAAACCAAAGGGCAAGAGGCGTCTTGGAGCCAGGGGCACCGAAGACCCGGATGTCAAACTCGCCCGCTCGGTCGGGATTCGGCCGGAAGACAAAGATCTGCTGCGCAAGAGTAGCCGCGGCCGCGGCGAGTTCGATGCTGCCGGCCCAGGCCCCAGGCTTGCTAAGCCTGAGGAGATAAGCATCAAAACCTTCATCGAGCATGGGCTCCTGCTCAGCACTCGGCGCGTCACCCCGCCAGAAGCCAGCGTAAGTAGCCTTGTGCCTCCTCAAATGAGTCACGACCAAGTTCCTCAACTCCGCTGCGCTCCGCTTGGAGCGGCCCTGATGCTGAAGCGTATCAGCCAAGGCCAAGAAGAGACACTCGCCCTGGCCGGCATTGTCGCAAAGCTTCAGCCCGCCGGGAAGCAGCAGAGTGGAAGCAGCAGCTTCGGCTCGGGGCCGCTTGGTAGGGCCTCCAACAGCAGCGGTAGAAGCCGGCAAGGACTTGCCATCATCCAACCTCGGGCGGTCATTGCCAGCATCAACTGCCATGTTCCCCTCCGTTTCTTCAGCATCAGCGCCAGCACGCGCAGGACGAGGCGGCTCAGACTTAAGCCGGTCCTTGGGTCCCTGCCGAGCAGGCTTGAAGACCTGCTTGAGCTCAAGAGGGAGAGCACGATCATTGCGCACCGGGCGGTCGCCACCAAGACGCGTCAGCTCGAGAGCACCGTCCTCAAGGACAAAGGACATGAAGTCAACGTCGGCCTCAGCAGAGGCCCGAAAGCTCCAAGCAGAGGTGCCTCTCCAGGGAGACCTCTCCTCAATCTCAACATTCTCCAACCCACACTCCGTCACATAGCCCTGAATGTCCTCAAGGCTCCAGTCACGGGGGACACCGGTCGCCCGCCATCTCCTGCGCACAACCTTGGGCCGTGCCAGGTCCTCAGGAGTGGAGGCCTTGCGCACACCAAGCTGCCGATGCCCACGAGCAAGCCCAAAGTCAGCAGGCTGGGCACCACGGCTGCACCGACTAACATAAGCCGGCCAATCCTCACCCTCAGTCCAGTCAACCCAATGTACCGTAAGCCCGGGCACAGTCGGGAGCTCCTGATCGCGATGCACGTTGGAGACAAACCAGCGCATGCCGGCGCAGCGGGCGCCAGACATGCTCATGGCAAGCGCGGCCCGGCTAGCACTGACGCGGCACAGGCCCTCAACGGTAGCGCCCTTGACAAGGCTCCAGGACCAAGTGTCCTTGCATCCTTGGAAGGCGGCATCAGCCCACTTCCGAAAGTGAGCCCCAGGCGCCTTAGTCATTCCATCCCAAGCTTGCTCCCCAAGTCCAGCATAGACCCAGTCTGCATGCACGCGAAGCACAACGGTCTGCTGCGGCGTTGGTACCTGAGGCGCAGAAGCCGCGGGCTTCAGCCGGGGAGCTTCATCACTAAAGTGAGCCACAGCAAGCGAAACGACTCGAACCCGGCCCTGCCAATCGCCCGGCACTCGCTGCACTTGCCACTCGGCCTCGGTGAACTCCTCTCTCTCAGCTTTCAGAAGAGCAGAAGGGACCAAGAGCGTGAGATCAGGTCCGCAGTCAGAGCTCTGCACCACAGTGCGAAAGCGCTCCAGCTCATTAGCGTCGGTCACCAGGGCAACAGCATCCTTCCTAGTGTCCTGCAAGAACTCGGCAACAGACTGCACAAGGACCGGCGAAGGAGACCAGTCCTGAGGCCGCGGCTTCCAATGT